GGAGCCCGATGTGGGACTCGATCCCAGGACCCTGGGATCATGACCTGAGCCGAAAGCAGACGCTTAATGACTGAGCCACCCAGGCGCCCACAGCCTTGTACTTTTGTGCCTTTATTTCTGTTTCTTATAATCAAGAACCATATCTTTTGAATATTTTAAAGGGATATGTAAACCTCGATGTTTTGGTAATAGAGGTACTGAGATAAGTCTTCTAGCATGGCACATGGCAGATGCTTAGTATGTGGTTATTATTATGTAGCTGTTCAATGTTTGTTGTGATTGTCATCATTTGAATCATAGTTATATAAGCCTTTTCCAGCTAATAGAAGGGTAACCACAAAAATTTACAGTTTACTGGTGGATAGTTTGTTACTCATTTGTGTTACAGTAAGTCATCCAGGACTTGCTGGGGACTGATAGCTAGGAGCATGTACTGACTCATGGCCCAGGTTTCAGCCATTCAGATACAAGAAAGGGTAGCGTTCCTGCCACTCCAGAATAGTATGACACAACACCTGTGTATGTCCCGCATAATCATGCCATCTTTATGAATTTATAAAATTTTGTAAATGTATTTGTACTATATTTGATGAACTCAAAATAATAAACAATATATGGCAGACAGCTGTTGTTGAAAAAAAAGACTATTACCTTTTACTTTGTTTCTTTTAGCATGGTCTTTTTCTTGTTTTTATAATTGAGGGTGTTTTGTTGTTTTACTTTAAAAAGCTTTTTATAATCCTTGTTGTACACTTTTTTTAAAGTCTCTAAATTTAGCTTTTTTAATATATTATAATGAGGTTTACTTTATATAATATAGTATAATAGTGAAATTCATGTGGACTGTTTTTCATATTGACAGGACTTTCCCGTACTAAAAACTAAAAGAATAATAGCCTTATTTAAAAAAATTATCTCTATTGAGTTATAATTACATGCAAAAATTCATATTTTAAGTGTAAAATTTGATGAGCTTCACCAAATGTATTCAGTATGTAATTACCACCACAACTATAGCACTTCCACTGTCCCAAAAGCTCCCTCATGACCTTTTGCAGTCAGTCTTCTCTAGCTCCTGATAACCACCAATCTGCTTTGCAGATTGATGCAAAATGGTACTGCTTTGCCTTTTCTAAAATTTCATATAAATGGAATTATGTAATTTGTAGTCTTCCCTGTTTGGCTTCTTTAACTTAGCATAATGTTTTGGAGATTTATCTATTTTGTTTCATGTATCAGTAGGCCATTCATTCCTTTTTATTTCTGAGTAGCATTTCCTTGTATGGACAAACAGAATTTGTTTAACAGTTGATGGAAATTTGGGTCATTTCCAGGTTTGGGCTGTTTCAAATAGAGCTGCTATGTACATTCTAGATATAAATCTCTGTGTGAACATATAGTTTCATTTGAGGAAAAATATGCAGACGTGGGATTGCTAGGTTTTATAGTAAAGATTTTATTTATTTTAGAGAGAGAGTGAAAAAACAGAAGCCGGGGGAAGGGCAGAGGGAGAGGAGAAAATCTCAAGCAGGTACCGTGCTGAGAGTGTTCCCCAGTGCCGGGCTTGATCTCACGACCCTGAAATCATGACCTGAGCCAAAATCAAGAGTTGGATGCTTAACCAACTGAGCCACCCAGGCACCCTGAGATTTCTTTTTCTATATTGATTTTATGTACTGTGATTTTGCTCAACTAAAGTCTAGGATTTTCTACCTAGACAATCCTGTTATTTGTAAATAAAGATTGTTCTACTTTTTCCTTTCCAATCTTAATGCACTTTTTTTTTTAATGTATTGCACTAGCTAGGATTCTTTTATGTATTGTACTAGCTTCAATACAACGTTGAGTATTAGTGATGAGAGCGGATCTTTGTGCCTATTCTCAGTCGTAGGGCAAGTGTTCAGTTTTGCAGTATTAACTATGATATTACTTGTAGATTTCTTGTGGAGGGCCCCTATCAGGCAGGAAGTTCTCTTCTATTTTTAATTTGCTGAGAATTTTTATCATGATTTGTGTTGAATTTGTCAGGTGGCTCTCTTGCATCTATTGAGATGCTCATCTGGTTTTTTCTTTCTCAGTCTATTAAAATGATGACATACATTAATTCTTAAAATGGTAAACTAACTTTGCATTCATGGGATGAATCTTACTTTCTTCTGATGTATTTAGTCTTTTATCTATTGCTGGATTCAGTTTGCTAGTATATTGTTAAGGTTTTATAAATGTCTCCGTTGAAGAGAGAGTGATCTGTAGTCTTCTTGTAATGACTGTCTGGCCTTGTTCTCAGGATAATGGTAACATTTGTACAGTGAGTTAGTGTTTACTCCCTTTTTATTTTCTAAAATAGAATTGATATAATTTAACTGGTGGGTCTATAGGGGTTTTGTAGGAAAGTTTTAAACTGAATTAAATGTTTATGGCTGTTTAGATTATCTCTTCTAGAGCAAGCTTTGTTAGTTTGTGTCTTTTAGGAAATTTGTTCATTTTATCTGCCTTGTCAAGTTTATTGGCATGACAGCATTCTCTTAACTATCCTTTTAATGTCTCTAGGATCAGGTATTGGTAATTTAATGTTTTCTCTCTTTTTTTCCTGATCATTCTAGCTAGAAGTGTATTTTTTTTATCTTTTAAAAGAACCAGCTTTTTAACTTTATTAATTTTTCTCTATCCTTTTTTCATTGATTTTTGTTCTTATTTTTATTATTTCTTTAATTTTCCTTACTTTGGGTTTTATTTCATTTACTTTTTTGGTGGGGGGTAGACAGAGAGAAAGATAGGCAGGCATAGGGAGAGGGAGAGAGAGAATCCCAAACAGGCAAGCAGGCTCCATGCCCAGTGCGGGGTCGGATGTGGGGCTTGATCTCACGACCCCGAGATCATGACCTGAGCTGAAATCAAGAGTTGGATGCTTAACTGACTGAGCCACCCAGACACCCCTCTTACTTTGGGTTTTAATGTGGTCTGCTCTTTCTAGTTTTCTTAAAGCTTTGATTCTTGATTTTAGACTTTTATTTTTCATAGAAGCATTTTAATACTATAAATGTCATTGTAAGGTTTAGCACTGTGGGAAAAAATGTTTTCATTTTCACTGAAGTTTCAAAATATTTTCTAATTGCATTTGTGGTTTCTTCTTTGACCATGGGTATTTATAAATGTGTTGTTTAATTTCCAATTTTTGAGGATTTTCTTTTTTTTTTTTTTTTAAGATTTTATTTATTTGACAGAGAGAG